GGCTGGAGATTATTGTCTTTCAAAGCTTGAATTATTTCCCCCCATTCTCTTCGTGATTTGATGGTTTGTGCCGAGAAATCTGCTGTAATTCTGATGGGTCTTCCCTTGTAAGTGATCTGTTTCTTGTCTCTGACAGCTTTTAATATTCTGTTCTTATATTGGATTTCTGGAATTTTGATTATTATATGCTTGGTTTGGGCTAGATGATTTTGAAATCATCTTTGAGGCTCTGGAGATATCGCTTTATGTTTATTGGTGCCATGTCTGATATTGCATGTTTTCTGTCCTCATTCTCCTTTGCATTTACCTTTCCTGGATCAGTGTTCTCAGGATTGGGGACTGAGGACCCTTTCTTGTTGCCTCTTCTTCTCATACTTTTTGTTCCTTCCATACAAGCATATACAGGAGGCCCAGTTTCTTTCTTTGTTGGTTACAGTTTGTTTGAATCCGCCAGCTAGGTGTTCCCACCCACTGCAGTGTACTAGGGTGACACAGCCCTGGGCAGCCTCTGCTGGGCTCATCCCTCCAGATCAACCTAGTGAAGGCTTCACTGCATTAGGGTGCACCTCCAGGCACTGGGACCTGGTTTGGGCTAGCCTACTGGATCTTAGTCCATGGCATCACCAGGCCAAGTGCTCCCCACCCATCCTGCTTAAGAGAGGGATATGTGACTAAAGTCACCGCAGTGCCCTGTTCTGGCTAGTTTGCCTGGCCCCAGAATGTCCTCTGTTGAAGTCTTCTAGTGTATGAAAGGGTCCCCATTTTTCTCACTCACCGCAGATCGATGTAGGGCTCCCCGCCAGTCCCGCTGTCAACTCCATTCTCCCAATTCCCGCTCTCAGAGCTTTTGCGTGTCTCTCTCCCTGCTGTGCTGATTCAGATGCAGCAGTGGCAGCAGGAAATTCAAATCACAGTTTCCAGAGGCGTGGATTCCAGCTTCCGCGCTGAGATTTTATCTGTTCTGGTTATAGCATTGGGATTGCATTTCCATTTGGTTTCTCTCAGCTTAGTTCGTTCCTGGGTTGGCAGGGTACATCTCCCCTCGCTTAGGACTCCTCACACCACACCACTCCTGGATGCTAAGTTGGTGATCTCAGAGAGCCTCTGTGGCTGCTGCTTTGTCATTCTTAAGCACCTTTGAAATTTTCTTCTAGTCTGGGATTCTGGAATTAAATTTTGGATATATATATATATAACCAAAATTTAATATATATATATTTATATATATTAATTTATATAATATATATAATAATTATATATAATAATTATATATAATAATTTATATATATATTATATATATATAAATTTTATATATATATATATATATATATATATATATATATATCTGTGTGTGTGTGTTGAATTTATTAATCTTAAGGATCTTATTTGCTTTTCATGACCCCTCCCCATCCCATGCTTTTCTCTTCAGCTTCAGCTTCAGCTCCTGTGGGGCAGCCCTGAAATTGTGTCACTGCTTTGCAGAGTCATTGAGCATCACGTTGCAGAGATTTGATCAACAGCTTTCATTTCCAAATTTTCAATGCAAGATGGCACTTTGTTTATGAGCATCTTGAAGTGGAGTTATTTTCTGCCAATAGGTGCATGTCCATGAAGTTTTGGGGGTCATGAACATGTTTGGCTATTTCTGGCACACACATTTATCTAATCACATAACTCTGGATAGAATAATAGGGCATTTGGTGTGCACTTCTTTTCAGTGGTGAGCATTGAACCCAGCGTCCTCTCACTGTGTTTTAATCCCTGCCATCCACCCCCTTTTAGAGACAAGGTCTCATTAAAATTCCTGGGTTGGGTTTGAACTTACATTCCTGTGACTCCAGCCTTACACTTCCCAGAGTACCGGGAATTTAAGTGTGAATCCTCCATACTTGGCTTAAATATATTTTTAGTGTTAGCAAATTTTGCCAAAATATTTTTAGAAAGGATTTTATACTCCCAGTAGTCATGTAAGTGTTTACTATACCCAGTGTTTACTACAGGTACACTAAACTTTTTGCAAGGCACATAGGAGAATAATAGGGTACCAGTGGAGCTTTAATTTGCATTTTCCTGATTATTAAATAATCAAACACAGTCATCTCTACTTCTTAGCCATTTAGAACTCCTCTTTCAAGGAAAAATCTTTTCTAACCTTTACGCATTTTTCTGAGGGGTTGTATTTTTCTTTATTGATTCAAAAGAGGCTTTACTTTTTTATTCTCCCAACCCACGTGTATTGCAAATACAGCATCTTCTGTCAGTATGTGACTTGTTTTTTTATTCTTTTTTTGAGTGACATTCTCTTTAAATTGTCCAGCCTGCCTTGGAACTTATACTCCTCCTACCTCAGCCTTACTGGATTAGATAGCATTGTGCTGCTACACTTGGCATCTTTTTATTTCTTACAGTGTCTTTCGATAACTTACATTTTAATGTAACTGAATTTTAGGTTTTTTTCTAAATAGAACTGTATTTTGTTGTTTGTTAAGGTACTGGAGATTGAACCCAGGTTTTTTGCACTGGACTATATCACCAAACCTTTTTATCTTTTTTAGACAGGGTCCTCTAAGTTCCTCAGACTGGATTTGAATTTGTGGCTCTCTTTCTCAGCCTCCCAGAGTGCAGGGATTACAGGGCGCACCGCTGCACCTGGCTCCTGCATAACCTAACCCTTGGGATCTGTCAGCACCATTTGTTATCCAGTTTCCTCCTTTCCTACCCTCATGTCTTGTGTGTTAGTTAAGGTGGCTACAGTGCTGCACACAGCAAGCCTGCTCCCAGGATTCAATGCTTCTACTTACTCCTGTTCTACTGAGCTGTCAGCATTTTTCAGGGTTCAGATTAATGCTCACGATCAGCCTGGGAACACTTGCTATATAATGAGCTGGCAGAGCTGACTCCATTGGCAAGTATTTCATGCCTGCAGCTTTGATTTTCTTATGTGTAAAATGAGAATATTAGTCTTGTCTCTGGAGATACTGGGAGCACTTCACACACACGCTCTGAGAGCTGGAAGATGTTCTTTCTGTGTACTGTCTGAACAGAGTGTCCCTATTAGCCCTGACCCTGGACGCCATCCATGCACACTGGCACAAGCCAAACCTCTGTGTTCCCCTTAGTTCCTTTTTCCCTTTGTTCTTACCCACCATTCCCACCACTGACCAAATCAGTCTATCTCCTGCTGGTATTTTTGGAATTTATCCTGTTGAACTGGAGGAACCAGCTGACACCTGGCTGTTTGGAGCCAACACACCAAGGATTCCACGTGGTGATGTTTCTATTGGTGTTACACATCCTCCCTGCATGTCTGATGGCCTCCAGGTGAACTCTGCCTGTGTTCTCCACACCTTTGCCCTTAGCTTTTGGCATCTGCAGTGGTTGATACACTGTGTCAACTTGAGAAGTCAACAGCTTAACTAAGTGACTTAGTTACTTAGATTCTGGGGTGCAGAGGACTTGCCCTTCCCCTCCAGGATGTTGCTCATTGTGTCAACTCCAGAAGTTTATAAGCTTAACTAAGTGACTCCGAAGAGGGCCAGGGCCCTCACTTTGTAAATATCCAGAGCCTGTACCAGGGGAAGGCATGGAAACGGTGTGGGTGTAAAAAAACTCCTAATCCCAGGGCAGATAGCCTGCATACAATAAAAAGAAAATGAGGAATTGATTGCTGGTCCTTTGGGAAAGCTCATCTTCTCCTTCAGTTTGGACAGCATCTGCCTTCCAGCACTGACCATTCAGGTTAGGCCTGGGACTCTTCAGTCTTCCATCGGGCCCCCGATACAGACTTTCATGGAATACTGCAGTGAGCTCCAGACTGAACACCTCAGTCCCTCTGCACACTTTCTCATCCAACTGTGTGGCTGATCATCAGAAACCAATCTTGTAATTTCTTACACATTTGTATATCATGTGCTCTACCTGTTTCTCTAGTAAACCCTGACCATTATAGTGTCCTTCATACTTTTTAATGTGCAAGTCAGTCTGAAAATTGAACAAAACTCTGATTCAAAGTTGGGACTATTTACAGCTTGAGTCATTAGAACACAAGTAAGAAAATATGAGCGTGTCAGTATATTTCTTAAAATTTATCTGTTACTGGTTGCTTATGTGTATTGATTGATTGATTGATTGATTGATTGGTGCTGAGAATTGAACTCCTGACCTCACATGTGCCAGATAGACGCTTCTGCCACTGAGCTAATCCCTGGCCTTGCATTTACTTTTATAACAATGGGTTAAGGACATGATAGGTGTTCTGGTCATCAGTTAAGACATAACTTCTAGGTTACTTAGGTTTTGACCAAACACCCAGTTATGGTTAAGCCAAATGCTCTGTGTATTCCTAGATGCCTGTTTTATCGGTACCCCACACCAGTCTCTTAACATTTCTTGTCATTGTCTCCAGAATATGTTCATATCTTTTAGGTTATTTGAGTCCCAGTTTTTTCTCTAGATTGCAGGCTGACAATATTGTAATTTGATATTGTCTTTGTCTGCCTTGATCTCTGAGAAGTTAAATACTTGTATAAGTATTTAAATTTATATAATACTCATACAAACTCGTAAAGAAAAATGTAAGTTTTGCTTAATTAAAGGTAAAGGGTAGCAGTTCACAAGGAAACATAGAACTAAGGAAATATGTAACTATGCTAGTAAAACTTTAAATAACTTAACATTTTAAATACAATTATTAATATTGAACCTAACTTTTACAGCGGTACTGACAGAGACTCCATCACGAAGATCCAAGTCTGTGCTTCCTTGGGTGTTTCAGGTAGCCCAGATAAAGGATAAGTGGATGTTTTCCATATTTCTATATATTCAAGTATAGATTACTCAGGCATAAAATTAATTCATTGTTTCTAAACCATGTATAAGGGTAGCTTTTAAGAATATAAATGATTTCTACATAATACCAAATCCAGTCCTAGAGCCCTATAAAGTTAGGATCTAGCTTTAGTAAATAAAAATTTTAACTGCTCTACTGTCTTGTCTTACAGGCTGCCTTGCCCAGGAAGCCACTTGAACCAGTGAACTTCCTAGATCCTGAGTATAAAAAGAAAGAAGGAAGAAAAAGGAGAAGAAATTCGGGAAGAAATGATTCATCCTAGTGGTAATGTTAAGAGTTGTTTTTAAATGCAAAAAGAGAATGTGGACTAAAGTAGAGTGGAAAAGCTTAAAGCATGGTCATGTGTGGCTTGACAGGGAGGGATGCATGTGAGAGCCACACTGTTGGATGATTGTGTCATAGTGTGAATGTGACCGAGTGATGGTATAGGCCAGGACACACATAAAGTGATATATATATCACTAAGATACCACAAAGATCAGATCTAGCACAAGATTAGAAGACAATACGATCAGAAAATGCAATGAGTATAAGATGTACAAGACTGTTGCTGGTGGATCATGGCTTATTCGTCATAGAAAAAAATTAATAGTGTATTTTGAAATAAAATGTACAGTGTAGAAAGTTACTCTTAAATATTATGCAATTTACAGTTGTGTGTGCTATTCTTTTTCATAGTGGCCAGTGAGGACTTGTTTGCACTGCTGCAAACCTAAGTGTCATGACAGTCGCAGAGCAGCACTGTGATTATGTGGTCCATCATGAAACTGTCAGTGCTACCTTGACTCCAGGACTGTGGGGCTTGAGTCCCTGCACTCCTAACACTAATTTACTCACTCTTTATAGCTTAGTGGTATAATGAAAGGAATACAGTGACGCTCTTTTAACTGATGCTTGTGGCAAACGGTTTCAAAGCCTGAGTAGTCTAACTCTCATCTGTAAGCTTTTCTTGTCTTGGTCATCAGACAGGGGCTCCCATCTCCAGCCCACTTAGGAAAGTGAGTGGGAAAAAGACCTAGCTCAGTGTCCCAGCTCAGAGAGAGAGAGAGAGAGAGAGAGAGAGAAAGGGATAGACATAAACAGGGTTTGTTGAAAGTAGATGATGAGAGCTTGTTTTCTTAGATTTATGGAGAATTTGCTCTTCAGATGCCTTGATCTAACTCATCTTAATATAAATTATAAACTTGAAGAATAAGAGGATGGGAACAATGGTTAATGGAAGCAGTCGGGCTTTCTGTGTCATATGTGGCAACAAATCATTGATGAGGAAAGGTTTTCTGTTTCAGATGAATTCCAGCCAATAAAGGGAGAATGAATAAGCATAACTTAGAGCCTACCAGTTTGCAACCCCTAATGAAATAAAGGTCTTCTCTACTTTTAGAGAATATTTTCCTGTTTTGTTATGAAAAATTTCAAAGGGAACACATAAGATTTAACCTATCTTATGTGGTTTCAGGAAGAACTCTTACCCACTGATAATACCGTGGTTTTGGGGGTTGGAAAATGTTTATAAAAATGGCGAGCAGGTTATAGTGTTTCCTAATGGAACTCAGAAAGGAGGCACAGATGGAAAGAGCATCTAACATTTCTTTAGAATATTTTTTATTGATAAATTATTAATTATATGTTATGAGTTTTGCTATATTAAACAATGAATACTTAACAGGAAAAGTCACAAAATGTTGAATTTTTAATATTGAATGTTAATAAAACATCAAAATTTTAAACATTGACTATTTTATTGTTTGAGTCTAAAAAAGGGCATGAGAAATAAATTTCCTTATGAACTATAATGAAAATACCAACAAAATCCTACATAAAAAATTTACTTCCATTATCATAACTAAGGCAGTCTACACACATGACAACAGCATGTTCCCTGCACACACCTTTCTTACACTGACAGCACATGTTATTTGCTGTCCTGGCCTTTTTGTGGGGCAGATTTGAGATCTCAGTGGTCTTGCTGTTTTGTCAGAAGGTTCTTGTTATACAGTGTATAGTTAGCAGGCACAAAATATCAATGAAATATTAAATTCTTAATATGTAGTGTGCATTTAGACATCAACATTTTCACATCCATTGTGTACTTCCTTAAGAAACTTAAAAGATAACATCAGAAATAAATTCCTTTATGAACTACAATGAAATTCCAATAGAACTCTACCAATGAAATAAACTTTGCTTCAACTGTCACACGCAAGCCAGTCTTCACACATGACAAGCTACATAAACAAGTATCACTTACACTGATAGCATGTATGTCTGTTTTCTTTAGGGAACAGCTGACAGCATTTTTCTTTTCCAGTCGTCAGTGTAGGTTTTTATGATGCTGTGTCTGCTTGTTTGCCTCTAAGTTCACCGGTGTTCTGCACAATTGTTTTGTGTAGTTCCCTGGGCAAAAACGTTTTGTTTTCCCTCTGCTGTAAGTGATCTCTTTGAGTTCCTGTCCTTAACCTCTAAGAAAATTTCCACATATTTTGCATTTGTTATTTTCTTTACAAACCGTCAGACAATGTATGCCACACATATTTAGGATCACGTAAAACACAACCATTGCTCAATGCTTTGAGTTTCAAATGGCATCATAGTTGCTGGGTAACTCAGCAGCATGCACTCCACCGTCAGCTTTGTTGTTGAAAGTTTCCATCCCGAGCTCCTGATTTGTCAAGGTTTTCCTGGCAATATTTCCATAATGTTGACATCAGCAGTACCAGTTTGCTTTTCTTTGCCATGTATAAGGACAAGCTTCTATCTTTCGGATGTTAAAACATTGAACTATACAATTCTGTGTTTTGAAATTGCAACATTTCATTTGGAATTTCTGCTTTCTTCCTGTATACAGATCCTGTGCTGATGAACTTGTGCTTTGTTAGAAAATGTAAGATCAACTGGAAGCCAATAAACCAACTGGCACATGTCACATTCTGGTTAGTTTGGGAGATGGAAGCAACAAGCCTGTTCTCAACATTGTTCAGTTCATCACTATAAGAATAAAGATCTGATGGCTAAGTTCCAGGATAGATCTCTAAACTGGAAGCATAAAAAATGTTTGTATCTACAAGGGCATACATTTTCATGCTGTATTTTGGCTCTTTACTTTTCCATAAGGCTTTTACATTCATGTGATCACCTTGAAAAATCTGTGCTAAGCACAGCAGACTTATGAATACTTTCAGTTCATCTAGTAAGGTGCCACAATAAATACATTTTTGAATATGGCTATTAGTGCATACCGAATGGCCTTTGTGTATTTCATAGCCTCTTGTAACGTTTTTTCTGTTACAGTTTTCAGCATTGAATGGCAGTGTTGCCGGTCTGTCCAATACATTTCATTTCTGTCAAGACCTTCATTATATTTTCAGACTTAGTTTTGACTTTGGATTATTCCTTTTGTTTGTGGATATTTTGCAAAATTCTGACTAGTCAAATATATACTTTTGTTACTGTTTTCTTCATAATCTAAATCAAGGAGGTCTGCCTTCCCTGTGCGTCAGCTGATTCTTGTTTGTCACTGTCACAGAAACTTTGGCTCACATATCCAACGTCAATGTCATCATCATCATCATCATCCACCCACACCACTCTTCTATTATGAAAGCATGTGTTTTACCATAATTAATCATCTTCATTATCTATCTGACACAAGTAATCTGATATTTCACTTTTGTCTTCCTCCAAAATTTGCAAATATGGTTTTTAATATGCTATTGTACTGAACTGGGCTACTTGTACCAGAAAAATGAAAGCAAAACACTTTTAAAAAAATAAATTCTGCAATGGCGCAGGTCTGTTGGATGCTTGAATAAAAAGAAAAAACTGCTCTGCAAAGCATAAGCATTTTGCCACTTTTGCACACATGCACACTTCTTGACATTCATCTTACCAAGTGGGTAAACACACAGATTACTTCCTGTGTCTCTCAGGGAAAGGTGAGATGCACCACTGGCTACTGTAACACTTAAGTAAATATTTACAATAGAAAAGTAATGAATGGGTCTTGTGGACCCTGGCTTATGCCTTAGCTACCCCAAGCAGGTCATGCCAGATAACAGAGTGTTATGTTCCTGGGCGTGTTACTTCCCAGTCGCCCATCTTGGAAGAGCAGTCTCCTGAATTTATATCTTTACAGATCTACCATTATATTGCTTCCTAGTCTACTTACACCATAGAGTCCAAAGGACTTGAAGTTCTACCCTTCTCAAGTGGACAGATAGGTACACATTTGCTCTGCCTACCTTGTTAAATTCTTCTCTTCCTTTAACTAATAAGAATTTATGGTAACTTTTTTAAAATAGAAAAACAAGTCCCAGTTGGAAGAAATCATATTTCTTGATCAGATTATAAAAAATTATTTGCTGATGGCTAAGAAGAAAGCATCTTCTAAGAGGATAGATTGGTCAGAGTATGCACTGGTTAAATCTGCTTCAAGATTTTCCAGTTTTTATGGTTCAGCTTTGATTATCAATTGAATTGTTAAAAATTTACATGCATATATTTGTCACTCAAAATTTCAGTAAGTTTAGAAGTACACAAAGACTGACAGCAAGTGAGACATGTTTTTAGAAGTGTGAAGGTAGAACCTGTGAGATATAAAGTCAGTGTGTTAGGGTGTTCCTAGAGAAAACAGATACAACACAACACATACAAATGCATAAGAAATGACAAGATTGGTTTATGACAGTCGGCCACAGAGACAGATGAGGAAGCATGCAGAGGGTGTCTGCAAGCCAAAAGCCAAAGGATTCAGCCTGAGGTCCGAAGTTCATGCAGTGTCCCATGCAAGTCTGCACCAGGACGATGGGTCTGCGATGGATGGCTGAAGAATCTGTGCTGGAAGTCTGAAGGATCCAAGCCAAAGGCAAAGACTGGAGCTCTTAAAGAACGGAACCTCATCCATTCTTCCTCCTTTCCTTTTATGCCATCCAGGAGACGAGCCACCCTAGGGTGTAGAATTGCTAAACCGATTCAGTTAAGTTTCTAAATGTCTCAAATTGACACAATCAGTCAACCATTACAGTTAGTATTCAGCCCAGGGATTCAGAGGGCCTTCACACAGCATCCCAGGAAAGGGGAACAGAAAGGGCACATATATGTTTGGAAATATGTTTGGGTAAATTTTAAAACAGAGTAAGACAGAAACAAGGCAGATGGCCTGTTATATATTTTGACTGATTAATTGTTTGGCACTGGGGATTGAACCCTGAGTCTTTGCCTTGTTCTGTTTTTGAGACAGGGTCTCACTAAATCACTGAATTGCCCAAGCTGGTCCCAAACTGGCAATCCTCTTACCCTATAGCTTTTCAAAATTCTGGGATTAGAGGTGTGGGCCACTATACCTTTCATACAGTTATTAAGTTTTGCATGGCTCTGGCTGCGCAATCCATGCTAATGATAAAGCTCTTAATTAGATGTTGTAGTTTATTTTCAATACAAGATAATAGGAAATTAACAATCACTACCATAATATATCTCATCTTCAAAATATCTGCCCATGCCATCACATATCACAAAAAATCAAACCAAACGAAACAGAATAAGACCAATTAAAACAAAACAATCAAAAGATATGGGACTTTAAATCAAAATAATATGAAATTAACAATGGCTACCACCTCTGTTTTCTACATTTCCTCTCCTTTCACTTTCACAATATCCATTGTATTTTTTGGATTTCACTAACTCCTTCAGTTTTTTATACTAGGGAGACAGCACAATGCTCACCTATGTGAGCCTGAGCCATTTCACCCAAGAGGATGATCGAGTTGCATCCATTTACCTACAAGAAATTTGTGATTATCCTTCTTTATAGTCGCATAGCTTTCCATGTATAAAAATGTTGTATCTTTCTTATTTGTTCTGTGGTTGACAGGCAAGCTATTCCTGCTTTTTTCTGGTTCCCTGTTTCATGGAGCAATTTTTTCTGTCCTTTGAATTTCAGTCTATAAATTTCCTTTAATAGTTTCTGTCTTAGTTACTTTATGCTCGTCACTGAGACAAAATACCTGAAGCCCAAAGTTGGGAAAGGAAAGGTTTATTTCTTACAGTTTTTTTGGAGGTTTCAGTCCACACTCAGTTGGCTCCAAGACAGGCAGGCATGGCTGGACCGCACTTCATGGTGGCTACAAACAGCAAGCTCGAACCAGCAAAGAGAAAGAGATACCTTCTTCCTGCCATTACATCACATCCTGGCTCCACCCCTAAGTGGGTATAGCACTAACACCATCAATCCAAGCACTATACAATGAACGAATAATAAATGCACAATTCAAACTCATGAGGCCTGGGGGACACAAACATAAACCATGACATTCCACCCCTGGCCCCCAGGACTCATGTACATCCTTTTTACAAAACATATTTAGTCTACATCCAAGAGTTCCCAAAGTCCTAACAGTTTCAGCATTGCTGAACAGTCCAAGTCCCAAGTCTCCTCCAAGACAGATCTATGCCAAACTCTTAACTGTAACCCCTGTACAAATGAAACAAGGTTAAACATTTCTGAAATGCAAAGGCACAAGATAAACATTACCATTCCAAAAGTTACAAACAGCGGAATATAAAGTATTGGAAACAAAGCAAGTCCAACATTCAGCAGGGCAAACATTAAGTCCTAGAGTTCCACACTCAGCATCTGAAGCAATCTAGTTGCAAACTCCAAAAGCCTTGGGCGAGTCCACCCTCAGGACACCTCTGGCCTCAGGGCAACTCCCGCAGCTTTTCTCTTAAATCCTCTCTGCTCGCTTTTTGCAGCTTCCGTTGGATCATCCACATTCCTGGCTTCTCCAAACTTCTGGGGTCTCCACTGTACCTTCAGCTTCACCTTTACATCTTCATAAATTGCCCTCTCAGGGGCACACTGCTTGACCTCCCAGGCCCTTTGCAATCGAGGTGGAAGCCGTATTACCCTCAGAATTCATGCATTTTCCTTACACCTAAAATCAGCACCTTGTGGATCCTGCCAAGGTTTGCTGCTAGCTGAAGCAGTAGCCAGGCTTTTCTCTCTCTTGGCTGTAGGGGTCAGTTGCCTGGATCGCAGGGCTCTGTTTACCTGATTGTGATGAAAAATCTTCTCTGTGTTGCCGCCATTCTGGAACCTCACGTGGCCTCTGTCGCCATTCTGGAGCATGGCACTCTATAGCTTTTTCCTCTGAGCAAAATTTTTCATCTTTGTTGTGAGGCTGCACAGGGTGGGGACCTGCTTCCTGGGATGCCCTGGGGCCATCTTTCTTATCTCTCTGTTTCTCCTCAGGAATCAAAATCTCAACTCTGTCTTTACAATCCACACCCTTCCTGGAATCTTCCTTGGGGCCAAACTCACAGCATTGTACATTATCCTGCTGGGCTTTTTGCTCCTGATTTGAAACATAAAGCTGGCTGAAAGCCCCCAACAATATCCATGCCACAGCCTCAATGTTCGATTGCTTTTTAATTTCTTTTTCAAGATTAATCAGTCCATGGCCCTTTGTCTCAGTCTCAGGCAAAGTCTCTGGGCAGGAGCAAAATGCAGACAAACTTTCTGCCAAGCCATAACACTCATCATGTGGAGTCCAACGACCAATGCAGTCCTTCCCAGCAGATACCTCCCAAGCCTGGTCTTTACCATGAGGCTTTCTATCATCATCCTTCTGGTCTCCTGAGCTCTGACCAGAATCTCCTCTACAGAACAGCCTAAGCTGCTCCAGCTTTATGCATCCAGGCAACGTGTCCAAACCTTTCCAAATTCCGCCCACAAGCCATTTCCAAAGCCTCTTGAAAAACATGGCCAGGTATAGTCACAGCAAACAACCCCATTCCTTGGTACCAATTTCTGCTGTAGTCAGGGGTTGTACACAGAGAACAGTTCAGATTAGGACATGGAGTTTATAATATTTTTATAATGGTCACCAGAAGTTAACACAAGAGAATCCAGGAAATCTATCCGCAACACCAATGACATAGATTATTTAGTCAAGAGTCTAAACTCCATGGCAATGTCCCACAAGAGTCCAGATAAAAACCCAGAGCTCAGGACAACACCACCACGAGTCAACTGGAAGTCCAGAGCCCACAAGAAGGACTCATGCCAGTCTCTTTTACGGATTCGTGCCGGGAAGACCCAAGGGTCAGCGGTGGAAGCCAGAAAGTCCATGCCAGCAGGATGAAGGAGCTGTGCTAGTGGGATGAGGGTTCTACACTGGAGCCGAGAAGTCACACTCACAACAAAGAGCAGGGCTGTCCTGAAAGGCACCGCAGCTGTCCTCAGTGACACGGAGGCCCCGAACTCCTCCTCCGACAAGCACAGTCGGGTACGTGCCAGGAAGCAGTGTGAGGAGTTCATCCTGGAGACCAGGCAGCACTTGTCTTCCCCTCCGGGGCCAGGAAGCAATGCTCGATGTGAAGACCAAAGCTTCTCCAGGAGAACCAACAGCTCAGACAGCAACTCGTAGGAGAACCAACAGTGCCTCCATAACGCCTCAATCCCTCTCAAAACCTCTCTTCTTCTCCACTTATTTATCCTGGCAACCCTCTTCAGGTGGAGCATCTTCTCTCAATGCATGCTGATGTAATCCAGGTGGCGTTAAGTTGACCACTAGTTATCAAACCATAACACTTTCCAAAGAAATAAGGATAAATATATATATATATATATACACACACACACACATATATATATATATATATATATATCAGTTCAAGATAGAGACATATTTTTAAATAAGATACAAAACAAACCTTTAGAAACAAGTAAGTGATAAATAGCTGGAAAACTCAAAATATACTACAAAAAAGAGAAAGATAAGCTAT